CATACTACGAGCGAAGCTGTACACTTGCGGTCGAGCTTTAAAAATATAGGCGAACAGTACGGTACGGGGTATTTAAGTAAATTAATACCTTGTAGGGTTATAGTATAAATACATGGTGTATTGATGTATTTGTGACTATTGAGAATAATAAAGATCCCTCAGCCGCCGTGGACGTAGGCACATTGCCGAACCACGTAAATCTTGTGTTGTTTACTTTTCTCGTTTTTAATTCGTATGCCATATTGTCATCTACTCTCAACAAGTGGTACCAGAGCCTGGTTGATTGGGCGACGGAGATGACGGGAGGATCGAAATTCGAGGTCTCGAAATTTGATGGTCATGGCAATTTCGGATTATGGCAGACGAGAGTGATAGATTTATTGGCGCAGCAAGGAATTCAGAAAGGGCTGCGCGCAGAAAAGCCAGAGGGGATGGAAGACGATGATTGGCAAGATTTGCAGGAACGGGCGGCCGGGACAATTCGGTTGTGCCTTGCAAATGAAGTTATGTATCACGTTATGCATCTTAAAGCGGCGGATGAGATCTGGAAGAAACTGGAATCGCAGTTTATGTCGAAAACCCTAACGACAAAACTGTATCTGAAGCAGAGGCTAAAGGATACTCACAGCAAAAAGGGATTGACTATGAAGAGACATTTTCCCCTGTGGTTAGACATACTTCGATCAGGGCTGTACTTGCATTGGTGGCTAGTTGGGATTTGCATTTGGAGCAGATGGATGTGAAGACTGCTTTCTTGCATGGTGATCTCGCAGAGCCTATTTACATGCAGCAGCCAGAGGGCTTCGTTCAACCAGGGAAGAAGCATTTATTTTGCAGGTTGAAGAAATCCTTGTATGGCTTGAAGCAAGCATCGCGGCAGTGGAATATATGGTTTGATTCGTATATGGTGAAGATTGGCTACAAGCGTTGTGAGTTTGATTGCTGTGTTTAGACTAAGAGCCTTGGTGATGGTTCTATGATTTTTCTGTTACTTTATGTTGATGACATGCTTATTGCTGCCAAGAATATGCGTGATATTGTTGATCTGAAAAGCCTTTTGAGTCAGGAATTTGAGATGAAGGATCTAAGGGCTGCGAAGAAGATTCATGGGATGGAGATTCACATGGATAGAGGATCAAAGAGGTTGTGGTTATCTCAGAAGGGTTATGTGGAGAAGGTGCTACGGAGGTTTGGGATGAATGAAACAAAACCGGTGAGCATTCCATTAGCAAACCACTTCAAGCTTTCTGTTGATCAGTGCCCCAAGTCGGACAAGGAGACTCATGATATGGTGGAGATACTTTATGCCAGTGCTGTTGGATGTCTTATGTATGCCATGGTATGTACTCGTCCTGATTTAGCTCATGCTGTTGGTCAAGTTTGCAAGTTTATGTCTAGGCCGGGTAAACAGCATTGGGAGGAAGTCAAATGGATTTTCAGATATTTGAAAGGTACTGCGGGACATGGTATTGTGTTTGGAGATCAGAGGTTGGATCCTTTGGTTGTAGGATATGTGTATTCTGATTATGCTAGGGACATGGATAATAGGAGATCCACCACTGAGTATGTCTTCACTTTTGGTGGAGGGCCTATTTGTTGGAGGTCGAATACTCAGCCTATAGTTGCTCTATCTACAACTGAAACTGAGTATATTGCTTTGGCTGAAGCGGCAAAGGAAGCAGTGTGGCTTGCTGGATTGGCTAGAGAGTTGGGTATTCAACAAGGTGGAGTTCTAGAACATTGTGACAGTCAGAGTGCCATTCATTTGGCTAAGAATCAGATATATCATGCTAGGACGAAGCATATTGATGTGAGGTTCCACAAGATTAGGGAATGGATTGCTTTTGGTGATATTCAGTTGGAGAAAGTTCATACTAAGAGAATGCTGCTGATATGTTGACTAAGATTGTTACTTCTGACAAATTCAAGCATTGCTTGGATTTGTTGAATGTTTCCGCATGCTAGAGTTGCATGGTACCCCCGGCCTACTTGGTGTGTCTCGCAGAGGTGCTCGCTACTGTGTTCTCCTAAGGAGGTGATATATTCGCCAAGGTGGAGATTTGTTGATATGGCTCATATATTGACAAAGGAAGGGGGCAGGCTGATGCCTGCGAGCGTAACGGAGCGAACGTAGCGAGGGAAGCAGAGCGACCGAACGAAGTGACCTCGAGGTATGAGTGATTTATGGCTAGGTGCATGATAGGCATAACCCTACCTGTATGGAGGTACCAGACCTATTGGAACTGTCCATCAGGGAGAGGCCGGAAGGGGTATTCGTCAATGTCTGGTGGGAGAAGTTAAGTCGAGGGCGAAGCAACTAGAAGAGGGAAACCGAGATTCAGAGGAGTATCGAGCACCTTGTGTTGATATTTCCCTTGTATTCTAGTCATTTTAGTTTTCGAATTCCGAGGACGGAATTTTCTGTAAGGTGGATAGACTGTAATGCCCCGTTTATTTGTAGATTTTTCGAGTATTATTTATTGTTATTATTATTATTCTTGATATTAATTGTCTAATTTATATTAATTGCCAAATTATCTAATTGTTTTAATAGCTTATTATTATTATAATAATAGATTGTCATTTTTATTTTTAATTGATTGATTGTCTATATTGTATTATTGCTCGTCATCTCTCTGTTTAGACTTATTATTATTTAATTAGATATTCGTGTCTAATTAGTATAATAAGTCGTATAATGCAATTTTATTTATTCGTCGTCAATCAAATTGTTTGATTTTCCACGGATATAATTCCCGACTCGATTGGAATTTATTTACAGCCCAATTACTATGCCTTTATGTTGACCCATTTCTTTGAGTTAATGGTTTCTCTAGCCAAATCTAAATAAGTCTTGGGCCCAATTTCTTTTTTTATTCATTGCACCTGGCCCAATTAAATTGTTTTATGAGGCCCAACATTGAGATCTAGTAATTTCCTGCAAGAGCAGATATTTTTTTTTCTCACTTCTCCTTCAAGCCGCGACCGAGTCCTCCCCTCCCTTATCTTTTCGTTCAAAATTCTTGTTGCGATATTCTTGGAAAATCTCTTCGCACGTTCTGTCATCATATTCATATATCTTGAAACATTCAATCCATATTCTCTCATCTCCCTCTTTCGCATCGTTTCAAAAAAAAAAAATTAAAAATTAAAAAAATAAAATCGGCCGCCATTGTTACCGGCGAACTCCAGTTCGATTGACGGCGTCCCCTCTTCACAGTCCCATCGATTCAGCAGTCCCGTGAAGCTCTCATTCAACCTCGAGCAACGAACCAGCCAGCCCCGCAAATTCGCTCGAGCATCACCGACAAAGCTTCGCTCATCATTGTTTCCGGCGAGCACTCAGTCCCTGTCAGGCCTCGAAAATCGTTCACGGGAAGCCCTCAGTCCGTTCGAGAAAGCACAGTGGAAGTTCGTTGAGGTTTCTATTGATATGGCTCATATATTGACAAAGGAATGGGGCAGGCCGAGGCCTGCGAGCGTAACGGAGCGAACGTAGCGAGGGAAGCGGAGGGACCGAGCGAAGTGAGCGGAGTGGAGCGAGGGGCGGAGCCCCCGCGGTACGGTACGGGGTATTTAAGTAAATTAATACTTTATAGGGTTATAGTATAAATACATGGTGTATTGATGTATTTGTGACTATTGAGAATAATAAAGATCCCTCAGCCGCCGTGGACGTAGGCACATTGCCGAACCACGTAAATCTTGTGTTGTTTAATTTTCTCGTTTTTAATTCGTATGCCATATTGTCATCTACTCTCAACAAGTGGTACCAGAGCCTGGTTGATTGGGCGACAGAGATGACGGGAGGATCGAAATTCGAGGTCTCAAAATTTGATGGTCATGGAAATTTCGGATTATGGCAAACGAAAGTGAAAGATTTATTGGCGCAGCAAGGAATTCAGAAAGGGCTGCGCGCAAAAAAGCCAAAGGGGATGGAAGACGATGTTTGGCAAGATCTGCAGGAACGGGCGGCCGGGACAATTCGGTTGTGCCTTGCAGATGAAGTTATGTATCACGTTATGCATCTCAAATCGGCGAATGAGATCTGGAAGAAACTGGAATCGCAGTTTATGTCGAAAACCCTAACGACAAAACTGTATCTGAAGCAGAGGTTATACGGGCTGAAGATGCAGGAGGGAACCGATTTAGGAAAACATGTGAATATCTTCAAGATTGAAGATGAAGACAAGGCGATGATTTTACTATGTTCGTTACCTCCTTCTTACGAACATATGGTGACTACCCTTACATATGGGAAAGAAACGATCAAGACTGAGGAGATTACTTCAGCGTTGTTGGCTCACAGCCAGCGGAAACTGAAATCTGGAGAGTCATCTTCTCAAAGTGACAATTTATATGTGAAGGGTAACCAGGATCGTGGAAGAAAACATATGCGGGATAATTCAGGAAATCAGAATTTCAGATCCAAGTCGCGAGACAAATCTAAAGGGAGGAAAACTGTGACGTGTTATAAGTGCAAGGAACAAGGGAACTTCAAACGGGATTGCCCAAAGTGGAAGAAACAGACTGCTGATATGTCATCCAAGTCTGAGAACGTGGTACAAAATGAGGAATCCGATTGCAGTGATGGAGGTATGTTATCTATTTCGACTACGCAGTATGATGATTCTTGGATTCTCGATTCTGGATGTTCATATCATATAACGCCTAACAGAGAGTGGTTTGCTACTTATAAACAAGGCAACTCGGGTTCTGTTTTTCTTGGTGATGATAGATGCTGCGGTGTTGTCGGTATTGGAGATGTCAAAATCAGGATGTATGATGGAACTGTTAGGACATTACGTGATGTGAGACATATCCCTGAGTTGAAGAAGAATTTGATTTCTTTGGGTACTTTTCATAGAAATGGTTTCATTTCCAAGGCTGATGAGGATAGAGAAACCATTAAGATTGTGAAGGGTGCTTTGACTGTGATGAAGGGGAGGATAACTGCAGGGAACATTTACAAACTGTTGGGAAGTACAGTTGTAGGTGGAGTCCATTCGGTGGAGTCGTGTGAAGATAGCACGAAATTGTGGCACATGCGTCCTTGGACATCTTAGTGAACATGGCATGACTGAACTGCATGAGAGGGGGCTTCTGCATGGTGTTAAAACTTGCAAACTCAATTTCTACAAGTTTTGTGTTTTGGGAAAGCAGACAAAAGTCAATTTCAAGACTGGAAAAAGAAGATAAAGGGAATTCTGGATTATGTACATTCAGATGTGTGGGGTCCTACTAGAGTGACATCGATTGGTGGTTCTGTGCACTATGTGACCTTTATTGATGATTTTTCGAAGAAAGTTTGGGTGTATTTTATGAAGCATAAATTTGAAGTTTTTGCTAAATTGAAGCTATGGAAGGCTGAGGGGGAGAACCAGACTGGTGGGAAAATCAAGTACTTAAGGTCTGATAATGGTACAGAGTACACCGATTCACAATTCCAGAAGTTCTGTGAGGAGCATGGGATTCAAAGGCATTTTACAGTGCATAAAACACCACAGCAGAATGGTGTTTCTGAGAGGATGAATCGAACACTTGCTGAGAGGGCGAGGTGTTTAAGACTGAATGCGGGTTTGCCAAAGAGTTTCTGGGCTGAGGCTGTAAGTATGGCTTGTTATTTAATTAACAGATCACCACGTGCATCTCTGGATGGCAAAGTTGCAGAAGAAGTATGGACAGGTAATGATGTTAGTTTTGATCATTTGTAGATTTTTGGTTGACTTGCTTATGTTCATATTCCTGCTGATGAGAGGTCAAAACTTGATGCTAAATCAAAGAAGTGCACTTTTCTGGGCTATAAGAAAGGTGTGAAGGGATACAAGTTTTGGGATCCAGTTGAGAAGAAGACAGTGATTAGTAGAGATGCAGTGTTTGATGAACAGTCTATGTTGGGATCAAATGCAGATAAGGTACAAGTGGAGTTGGAACATGTGCCAGCAGTTCTTGATAAGGGGGCGAGTTCGAGTTCTGCACCTGATGATGTTGATCAAGATTTTTCTGGCCCAACTGATGTGCAAGAGAGCTACAAGTTAGCTCGGGATAGAGTGAGGCGTACACATATACAAGCTCCGGTGAGGTTTGGTTATGAGGATGTGGTCGCATTTGCTCTTACGATCACTAGCGTGGATCCATGTACTTTCCAGGGGGCTGTTTCTTGTGAGAATAATGATACATGGAAGGTGCATGAAAGAAGAAATGAATTCTGTACACAAGAACCAGACATGGGAGTTGGATGTTCTTCCCGAAGGGAAGAGAGCTATTGGTTGTAGGTGGATTTACACAAGGAAGTCATCGGTAACAGAAAAAGGGGGGGAGAGGTTCAAGGCTCGATTGGTGGCTAAAGGATACTCACAGCAAAAGGGGATGGACTATGATGAGACATTTTCCCCTGTGGTTAGATATACTTCGATCAGGGATGTACTTGCATTGATGCCTAGTTAGGATTTGCATTTGGAGCAGATGGATGTGAAGACTGCTTTCTTGCATGGTGATCTCGCAGAGCCTTTTTACATGCAGCAGCCAGAGGGCTTCGTTCAACCAGGGAAGAAGCATTTATTTTACAGGTTGAAGAAATCCTTGTATGGCTTGAAGCAAGCATCGCGACAGTGGAATATACGGTTTGATTCGTATATAGTGAAGATTGGCTACAAGCGTTGTGAGTTTGATTGTTGTGTTTACACTAAGAGCCTTGGTGATGGTTCTATGATTTTTCTGTTACTTTATGTTGATGACATGCTTATTGCTGCCAAGAATATGCGTGATATTGTTGATCTGAAAAGCCTTTTGAGTCAGGAATTTGAGATGAAGGATTTGGGGGCTGCGAAGAAGATTCTTGGGATGGAGATTCACAGGGATAGAGGATCAAAGAAGCTATGGTTATCTCAAAAGGGTTATGTGGAGAAGGTGCTACAGAGGTTTGGGATGAATGAAGCAAAACCGGTGAGCACTCCATTAGCAAACCACTTCAAGCTTTCTGTTGATCAGTGCCTCAAGTCGGACAAGGAGACTCACGATATGGTGGAGATACCTTATGCCAGTGCTGTTGGATGTCTGATGTATGCCATGGTATGTACTCGTCCTGATTTAGCTCATGTTGTTGGTCAAGTTTGCATCTTTATGTCTAGGCCGGGTAAACAACATTGGGAGGCAGTCAAATGGATTTTCAGATATTTGAAAGGTACTGCGGGACATGGTATTCTGTTTGGAGATCAGCGGTTGGATCCTTTTGTTGTAGGATATGTGGATTCTGATTATGTTGGGGACTTGGATAATAGGAGATCAACCACTGGGTATGTCTTCACTTTTGGTGGAAGGCCTATTTGTTGGAGGTCGAATACTCAACCTATCGTTGCTCTATCTACAACTGAAGCTGAGTATATTGCTTTGGCTGAAGCGGCAAATGAAGCAGTGTGGCTTGCTGGATTGGTTAGAGAGTTGGGTATTCAGCAAGGTGGAGTTTTAGTACATTGTGACAGTCAGAGTGCCATTCATTTGGCTAAGAATCAGATATATCATGCTAGGACGAAGCATATTGATGTGAGGTTCCACAAGATTAGGGAATGGATTGATTTTGGTGATATTCAGTTGGAGAAAGTTCATACTGAAGAGAATGCTGCTGATATGTTGACTAAGACTGTTACTTGTGACAAATTCAAGCATTGCTTGGATTTGTTGAATGTTTTTGCATGCTAGAGTTGCATGGTACCCCCGGCCTACTTGGTGTGTCTCGCAGAGGTGCTCGCTATTTTGTTCTCCTAAGGAGGTGATATATTCGCCAATGTGGAGATTTGTTGATATGGCTCATATATTGACAAAGGAAGGGGGCAGGCTGATGCCTGCGAGCGTAACGGAGCGAACATAGCGAGGGAAGCGGAGCGACCGAACGAAGTGACCTCGAGGTATGAGTGATTTGTGGCGAGGTGCGTGATAGGCATAACCCTACCTGTATGGAGGTACCAGACCTATTGGAACTGTCCATCAGGGAGAGGCCGGAAGGGGTATTCGTCAAAGTCCGGTGGGAGAAGTCAAGTCGAGGGCGAAGCCACTGGAAGAGGGAAACTGAGATTCGGAGGAGTATCGAGCACCTTGTGTTGATATTTCCCTTGTATTCTAGTTATTTTAGATTTCGTATTCCGAGGACAGAATTTTTTGTAAGGTGGATAGACTGTAATGCCCCGTTTATTTATAGATTTTTCGAGTATTACATATTATTATTCTTGATATTAATTGTCTAATTTATATTAATTGCCAAATTATCTAATTGTTTTAATAGCTTATTATTATTATTATAATAGATTATCATTTTTATTTTCAATTAATTGATTGTCTATATTGTATTATTGCTCGTCATCTCTCTGTTTAGACTTATTATTATTTAATTAGATATTCCGTAGATATAATTCCCGACTCGATTGGAATTTATTTACAGCCCAATTACTATGCCTTTATGTTGACCCATTTCTTTGAGTTAAAGGTTTCTCTAGCCAAATCTAAATAAGTCTTGGGCCCAATTTCTTTTTTTTTTATTCATTGCACCTGGCCCAGTTAAATTGTTTTATGAGGCCCAACATTGAGATCTAGTAATTTCGTGCAAGAGCAGATATTTTTTTCTCACTTCTCCTTCAAGCCACGACCGAGTCCTCCCCTCCCTTATCTTTTCGTTCAAAATTCTTGTTGCGATATTCTTGGAAAATCTCTTCGCACGTTCTGTCATCGTATTCATATATCTTGAAACATTCAATCCATATTCTCTCATCTCCCTCTTTCGCATCGTTTCAAAAAAAAATTAAAAAATTAAAAAACTAAAATCAGCCGCCAATGTTACCGGCGAACTCCAGTTCGATTGACGGCGTCCCCTCTTCGCAGTCCCATCGATTTAGCAGTCCCGTGAAGCTCTCATTCAACCTCGAGCATCGAACCAGCCAGCCCCGCAAATTTGTTCGAGCATCACCGACAAAGCTTCGCTCATCATTGTTTCCGGCGAGCACTCCGGCGGCGCCTTCCCCTGCTGCGGTCAATCGTTGTCAGTCCCTGTCAGGCCTTCAAAACCGTTCATGGGCAGCCCTCAGTCTGTTCGAGAAAGCACAGTGGCAGTTCGTTGAGGTTTCTGTTGATATGGCTCATATATTGACAAAGGAAGAGGGCAGGCTGATGCCTGCGAGCGTAACGGAGCAAACGTAGCGAGGGAAGCGGAGCGACCGAGCAAAGTGAGCGGAGTGGAGCGAGCAGGCATCTGCCCCTGTTGGGCTGGGTCGATTAGTTGGGCCGGGGGGTGCAGGGGCGGAGCCCCCGCGGTACGGTACGGGGTATTTAAGTAAATTAATACCTTGTAGGGTTATAGTATAAATACAAGGTGTATTAATGTATTTGTGACTATTGAGAATAATAAAGATCCCTCAGCCGCCATGGACGTAGGCACATTTCCGAACCACGTAAATCTTGTGTTGTTTACTTTTCTCGTTTTTAATTCGTATGCCATATTGTCATCTACTCTCAACAAGTGGTACCAGAGCCTGGTTGGTTGGGCGACGGAGATGACAGGAGGATCAAAATTCGAGGTCTCGAAATTTGATGGTCATGGCAATTTCGGATTATGGCAGACGAGAGTGAAAGATTTATTGGCGCAGCAAGGAATTCAGAAAGGGCTGCGCGCAGAAAAGCCAAAGGGGATGGAAGACGATGATTGGCAAGATTTGCAGGAACGGGCGGCCGGGACAATTCGGTTGTGCCTAGCAGATGAAGTTATGTATCACGTTATGCATCTCAAATCGGCGGATGAGATCTGGAAGAAACTGGAATCGCAGTTTATGTCGAAAACCCTAACGACAAAACTGTATCTGAAGCAGAGGTTATACGGGCTGAAGATGTAGGAGGGAACCGATTTAGGGCAACATGTGAATATCTTCAATCAGGTTGTCACGAATTTGGCTTCACTCTAAGTTAAGGTTGAAGATGAAGACAAGGCGATGATTTTACTGTGTTCGTTACCTCTTTCTTACGAACATATGGTGACTACCCTTAGATATGGGAAAGAAACGATCAAGACTGAGGAGATTACATTAGCGTTGTTGGCTCACAACCAGCAGAAACTGTAATCTGGAGAGTCATCTTCTCAAAGTGACAGTTTATATGTGAAGGGTAACCAGGATCGTGGAAGAAAACAGGTGCGGGCTAATTCAGGAAATTGGAATTTCAGATCCAAGTCGCGAGACAAATCGAAAGTGAGGAAAACTGTGATATGTTATAAGTGCAAGGAACAAGGTCACTTCAAACGGGATTGCCCAAAGTGGAAGAAACAGACTGCTGATATGTCATCCAAGTCTGCGAATGTGGTTCAAAATGAGGAATCCGATTGCAGTGATGGAGATATGTTATCTATTTCGACTACGCAGTATGATGATGCTTGGATTCTCGATTCTGGATGTTCATATCATATAACGCCTAACAGAGAGTGGTTTGCTACTTATAAACCAGACAACTCGGGTTCTGTTTTTCTTGGTGATGATAGATGTTGCGGTATTGTCGGTATTGGATATGTCAAAATCAGGATGTATGATGGAACTGTTAGGACATTATGTGATGTGAGACATATCCCTGAGTTGAAGAAGAATTTGATTTCTTTGGGTACTTTGCATAGAAATGGTTTCATTCCCAAGGCTGGTGAGGATAGGGAAACCATTAAGATTGTGAAGGGTTCTTTGATTGTGATGAAGTGGAGGATCACTGCAGGGAACATTTACATACTGTTGGGAAGTACAGTTGTAGGTGGAGTCCATTCGGTGGAGTCGTGTGAAGATAGCACGAAATTGTGGCACATGCGTCTTGGACATCTTAGTGAACATGGCATGACTGAACTCCATAAGAGGGGGCTTCTGCATGGTGTTAAAACTTGCAAACTCAATTTTTCCAAGTTTTGTGTTTTGGGAAAGCAAACAAAAGTCAGTTTCAAGACTTGGAAAAAGAAGACAAAAGGAATTCTGTATTATGTACATTAAGATGTATGGGGTCCTACTGGAGTGACATCGATTGGTGGTTCTGTGTACTATGTGACCTTTATTGATGATTTTTCGAAGAAAGTTTGGGTGTATTTTATGAAGCATAAATTTGAAGTTTTTGCTAATTCAAGCTATGGAAGGCTGAGGTGGAGAACCAGACTGGTAGGAAAATCAAGTACTTAAGGTCTGATAATGGTACGGAGTACACCGATTCACAGTTCCAGAAGTTCTGTGAGGATCATGGGATTCAAATGCATTTTACAGTGCATAAAACACCACAACAGAATGGTGTTTCTGAGAGGATGAACCGGACACTGGCTGAGAGGGCGAGGTGTTTAAGACTGAATGCGGGTTTGCCAAAGAGTTTCTGAGCTGAGGCTGTAAGTATGGCTTGTTATTTATTAACAGATCACCACGTGCATCTCTGGATGGCAAAGTTGCAGAAGAAGTATGGACAGGTAATGATGTTAGTTTTGATCATTTGTAGATTTTTGGTTGTCCTGCTTATGTTCATATTCCTGTAGATAAGAGGTCAAAACTTGATGCTAAATCAAAGAAGTGCACTTTTCTAGGCTATAAGAAAGGTGTGAAGGGATACAAGTTTTGGGATCCAATTGAGAAGAAGACGGTGATTAGTAGAGATGCAGTGTTTGATGAACAGTCTGTGTTGGGTCAGATGCAGATAAGGTACAAGTGGAGTTGGAACATGTGCCAGCAGTTCTTGATAAGGGGGAGAGTTCGAGTTCTGCACCTGATGATGTTGATCATGATGTTTCTGGCCCTACTGATGTGCCAGAGAGCTACAAGTTAGCTCGGGATAGAGTGATGCGTACCAATATACAAGCTCCGGTGAGGTTTGGTTATGAGGATATGGTCGCATTTGCTCTTACAATCACTAGCGTGGATCCATGTACTTTCCAGGAGGTTGTTTCTTGTGAGAATAATGATAGATGGAAGGCTGCCATGGAAGAAGAGATGAATTCTGTACACAAGAACCAGACATGGGAGTTGGATGTTCTTCCCGAAGGGAAGAGAGCTATTGGTTGTAGGTGGATTTACACAAGGAAGTCATCGGTAACAGAAAAAGGAGGGGAGAGGTTCAAGGCTCGATTGGTGGCTAAAGGATACTCACAGCAAAAGGGGATTGACTATGATGAGACATTTTCCCCTATGGTTAGACATACTTCGATTAGGGTTGTACTTGCATTGGTGGCTAGTTGGGATTTGCATTTGGAGCAGATGGATGTGAAGACTGCTTTCTTGCATGGTGATCTCGCAGAGCCTATTTACATGCAGCAGCCAGAGGGCTTCGTTCAACCAGGGAAGAAGCATTTATTTTGCAGGTTGAAGAAATCCTTGTATGGCTTGAAGCAAGCATCGCGACAGTGGAATATACGGTTTGATTCGTATATGGTGAAGATTGGCTACAAGCGTTGTGACTTTGATTGTTGTGTTTACACTAAGAGCCTTGGTGATGGTTCTATGATTTTTCTGTTACTTTATGTTGATGACATGCTTATTGCTGCCAAGAATATGCGTGATATTGTTGATCTGAAAAGCCTTTTGAGTCAGGAATTTGAGATGAAGGATTTGGGGGCTGCGAAGAAGATTCTTGGGATGGAGATTCACAGGGATAGAGGATCAAAGAAGCTGTGGTTATCTCAGAAGGGTTATGTGGAGAAGGTGTTACAGAGGTTTGGGATGAATGAAGCAAAACCGGTGAGCACTGCATTACCAAACCTCTTCAAGCTTTCTGTTGATCAGTGCCCGAAGTCGGACAAGGAGACTCACGATATGGTGGAGATACCTTATGCCAGTGCTATTGGATGTCTGATGTATGCCATGGTATGTACTCGTCCTGATTTAGCTCATGTTGTTGGTTAAGTTTGCAAGTTTGTGTCTATGCTGGGTAAACAGCATTGGGAGGCAGTCAAATGGATTTTCAGATATTTGAAAGGTACTGCGGGACATGGTATTGTGTTTGGAGATCAGCGATTGGATCCTTTGGTTGTAGGATATGTGGATTCTAATTATGCTGGGGACTTGGATAATAGGAGATCCACCACTGGGTATGTCTTCACTTTTGGTGGAGGGTCTATTTGTTGGAGGTCGAATACTCAGCCTATAGTTGCTCTATCTACAACTAAAGCTGAGTATATTGCTTTGGCTGAAGCGGCAAAGGAAGCAGTGTGGCTTGCTGGATTGGTTAGAGAGTTGGGTATTCGACAAGGTGGAGTTCTAGTACATTGTGACAGTCAGAGTGCCATTCATTTGGCTAAGAATCAGATATATCATGCTAGGACGAAGCATATTGATGTGAGGTTCCACAAGATTAGGGAATGGATTGCTTTTGGTGATATTCAGTTGGAGAAAGTTCATACTGAAGAGAATGCTGCTGATATGTTGACTAAGACTGTTACTTCTGACAAATTCAAGCATTGCTGGGATTTGTTGAATGTTTCTGCATGCTAGAGTTGCATGGTACCCCCAGCCTACTTGGTGTGTCTCGCAGAGGTGCTCGCTATTGTGTTCTCCCAAGGAGGTGATATATTCGCCAAGGTGGAGATTTGTTGATATGGCTCATATATTGACAAAGGAAGGGGGCAGGCTGATGCCTGCGAGCGTAACGGAGCAAACATAGCGAGGGAAGCGGAGCGACCAAGCGAAGTGACATCGAGGTATGAGTGATTTGTGGCGAGGTGCGTGATAGGCATAACCCTACCTGTATGGAGGTACCAGACCTATTGGAACTGTCCATCAGGGAGAGGCCGGAAGGGGTATTCGTCAAAGTCCGGTGGGAGAAGTCAAGTCGAGGGCGAAGCAACTGGAAGAGGGAAACCGAGATTCGGAGGAGTATCGAGCACCTTGTGTTGATATTTCCCTTGTATTCTAGTTATTTTAGTTTTCGAATTCCGAGGACGGAATTTTTTGTAAGGTGGATAGACTGTAATGCCCCGTTTATTTATAGATTTTTCGAGTATTATTTATTGTTATTATTATTATTCTTGATATTACTTCTCCAATTTATATTAATTGCCAAATTATCTAATTGTTTTAATAGCTTATTATTATTATTATTATAATAGATTGTCATTTTTATTTTTAATTGATTGATTGTCTATATTGTATTATTGCTCGTCATCTCTCTGTTTAGACTTATTATTATTTAATTAGATATTTGTGTCTAATTAATATAATAAGTCGTATAATGTAATTTTATTTATTTGTCGTCAATCGAATTGTTCGATTTTCCGCTGATATAATTCCCGACTCGATTGGAATTTATTTACAGCCCAATTACTATGCCTTTATGTTGACCCATTTCTT